GACCAGCCTGGCTAACATGGCAAAACCCCATCTCTACAAAAAATATAAAAATTAGCTGGACGTGGTGGTGTGCACCTGTAGTCACAGCTACTCGGGAGGCTAAGGTATGAGAATCCATTGAACCTGGGAGGCAGAGGCTACAGTGAGCCCAGATTGTGCCATACTCCAGCCTGAGCAATAGAGTGAGACTCTGTCTCAAAATCAAGCAAATAACAACAACAAGTTACATACTAAAGGTCACTTTGTACATTGTAAAAACCTGTGCAAATGTAAGTGAAAATTATGGATGGCAAAAATTCTTCCATTTCCTACTCCGTTATCAGAGATTCTGCTTTGCATTATATCAGAGTCTGATTTATATCATCAGCAGCAAAGCAACTATTCAACTGCGACCATTTGTCATGCTTCAAATCGTGTCTTGGCAGATTTCATTAAGTCTTTCAAAGGTCCCTCTCAGGCCAGTCGTCCCAGAGTTCAAAATAAGAAAATTACATTATGTTTTTATTAACAAGACCTTTCACACACTTGCCATCCTGGGGCCCCAGAAGCGTTCTGCCCCATTGAGCCCAGTACGGGGCACAGTAGTTACTAATGCCAGTTGATTAAACCACTAATTGGCCCTCAACACGGTCTAAACAGTAACCTGATATCCTTCACACTAATCGTGCATTTATGATAATCAGATTATTTGCATCATTAGAGACCTGACATAGCTACATGAAGACTCGGTTGTCTCACTAATATATATATATATGTATATATGTGTGTGTGTGTGTGTATATATATATATATATATATATGAAATATTCATTAAGGAAATAAAGTCCTGATGGCTGAGAATGTGGTGCACACGGATTGACGAAGGTGAGAGTATTAACTGTTTACAAACATCCCTTTACCTTGAAATGAAGGAGGGAGTGGAACCGAAAGAAAGAACACTGGCAAACTATTACTCTCCTCTCTTTACATACATTTAAAAAAAAATTAATAGCGAGAAGGTGTTTGGCAATAAATAGGTGAAATTTTAGGAAAACATCATCTGAAGCCATATGTTGAGGAGATGTTGACATCTGTGTTGCTCCTGGGCCCCAGTGGCTCTTGTTTCTGAAGAATTGGGACTATGGTCAAACAGTGAAAAGTAAAATGTTGGGAATAATTTGTTACACCATTTACCACCAAACTGAGGTAAAAAAAATACTAAATTCAAATTAGATTAGATTTGCATTGTCTACAATTTATGAAATTATGATCTTGTTCATTGTTTTTACCAAATATAGTAAAATCTTGCTGTTTTCTTTTTATCTGATTTGTTGCAATTAACAAGGTTCTCTCCAATCATTTAAAAGGATTCAGAATGTCAGTGCTTCATAATTACTTTCCTTAAAGTTAAAATGTAATTATGATAAGTAACATTATATGGTGGAAAATAAACACTCATGTCTGTACATATAAAGATATAGTCTATCGAGTAAGATCCTCAAAAGCAAGACTTTGCAGTGTTCAGTTCATCTCCAAATACCTAAAAATTCCTCTCTGCTGCCTGTACATGTTTCATAAGGATATATTTAATTAAAGAATGTAAGAGACAGAGTTCTACCTTTTTGTTCTTTTTTTCCCAACATTTACCTTGAAAATTTTCAAACAGAGAAAAATTGCCAGAATAAAAAAAAGTACACTGATACACATCTAGAATCCCTCAGTAATCATTCCCATGTTTAACATGTATTCTCTTTCTCTCTCTCCCCACTCCCTCTAAGAACAAAAACCTGTTCTTTTAAAAAAAAATTGCATTTTTATTTTAGTTCGGGGGGTACATGTGCAGGTTTTGTGTGGTGCTAAGATTCAGGCTTTATTGATCTCATCACCCAGAGAGTGAACATAGTATACAGTAGGAAGTTTGTCAGCCCTGGCCCCACCTCCCTCCCTCCTTTTGGAGTCCCCAGTGTCTACTGTTGCCATCTTTATGTCCATGTGAACTGAAGATTTAGCTGCCACTTATAAGTGAAAACATGTGATATTTGGTTTTCTGTTTCTGCATCAGTTTGCTTAGGATAATGACCTCTAGCTTCATCCATGTTGCTTTAAAGAACATGATTTCTTTTTTCTTTTTTTCTGTTTTTTGTGTTTTTTTTTTTTTTTTTTTTTGAGACGGAGTCTTGCTCTGTCACCCAGGCTGGAGTGCAGTGGCGCAATCTCAGCTCACTGCAAGCTCCACCTCCTGGGTTCACGCCATTCTCCTGCCTCAGCCTCCCGAGTAGCTGGGACTACAGGCGCCCGCCACCACACCCGGCTGATTTTTTGTATTTTTAGCAGAGACGGGGTTTCACTGTTAGCCATGATGGTCTCGATCTCCTTACTTCGTGATCCACCCACCTCAGCCTCCCAAAGTGCTGGGACTACAGGTGTGAGCCACCGTGCCTGGCCCATGATTTCATTTTTTATGGCTGCATCATGTTCCATGATGTATGTATACGACATTTTCTTTATCTAATGCACCATTGATGGGCACCTAGGTTGAGTCTGTGTCTTTGCTACTATGAACAGTGCTGCAATGAACATGCAAGTATATGTCTCTTTTTGGTGGAGCAATTTATTTTCCTTTGGGTATATACCCAGGGATTGCTGAGTCAAATGGTAGTTCTATTTTTAGTTCTTTGAAAAATCTCCAAACTGCTTTCCGCAGGGACTGAACTAATTTGCATTCCCACCAGTAGTGTATAAGTGGGGAACCTGCTCATACATAGCCAACAGTAAAATGATCAAATTCAGGAAAATTTACCATTGGCAGAATGCTCTCTACTAGTGCACAGTCCTGATTCCATTTTTGGCAGTTGTCATAGTAATGCCCTTTTAAAGCATTCCCCTCTTGACTCCAGGTTCAAAGCTTGCATTTAGCTGTTGTCCCTTTGGTGTCCTTTGAGCTGGAAGAGTTCCTCAGTTTGTCTCTGTTGTTTATGACACTGACATTTCTGAAGAGTACAGGCCAATGCTTCTTTAAAATTAGATCAATATCATGCATTTTAGGCAGAAAAACTAAGGATGTATTACATTATAGATCATTACCTTAGTAGATATATGATGTTGGTTTCTTCCATCATAGGGGATGGTAACTTTGATTGCTTGGGGTAAGGTGATATCTGCCAGATTCTCCCTTTGTGATTAATAAGTAATCTCTGAGGTGTACTCTGACACTGTTAATTCTGTTCTCTAATACACTTCATTCAACCATTTTAGCATTCATTCATGATCCTTGCCTGAATTAGTGATTACTGCTTTGGTTGAAAATGGTGATTTTTGGCCAGGTGCGGTGGCTCATGCCTGTGTGGTGGCTCCCAGCACTTTGGGAGGCCAAGGCAGTCAGATGACTTGAGGTTAGGAGTTTGAGACCAGCCTGACCAACATGGTGAAACCCTGTCTCTACTAAAAATACAAAAATTAGCAAGGTGTGGTGGCACGCACATGTAATCCCAGCTGCTCAGGAGGCTGAGGCAGGAGAACTGCTTGAACCCAGGAAGCGGAGGTTGCAGTGAGCCGAGATCACGTCACTGCACTCCAGCCTGGGCGACAGAGTGAGACTCCATCTCAAAAAAAAAAAAGAAAAAAGAAAAAAAAGAAAATCGTGATTTTCTAACTCCTTTATTTCTTTGCATCTACTATTTGGAATTCTACTATAAAGAATAGCTTTAGGCTGGGTGCAGTGGCTCATGCTCATAATCCCAGCACTTCAGGAGGCTGAGACAGGAGGGTCACTTGAGCCCAGGAGCTTGAGACCAGCCTGAGCAACATGGCAAGACCCTGTCTCTCCAAAAAAAATTAAAAATTAGCTGGGCGTGGTGGCACACACCTGTAGTCCCAGCTACTTGGGCGGCTGAGGTGGGAGACCACTTGAGCCCAGGAATTTGAGGCTGCTGTGAGCTGTGATCACACCACTGCACTCCAGCCTGGGTAACAGAGAAAGGGAGACCCTGTGATTAAAAAAAAGAAGAATAGTTTTATTTTCTACCTTTTAAAAATCTGGCTTTGTGAGCATCAATATCAATAAGGACTTACAGGTTCTTCTTATTAAACTGGTTATTGCTCATTACTCTTATTATTCATTTTGATGCTCATATTGTCCCAGCTGTCCCCAGTGGGTGCCTCTTCAATCTCACTTCTATGTTCATTCAACGTGGCCCCATTAGTCTGTATCATTCTTTAGCTCTTAGCATATCTATATTGACGTAGATATAGATACTGATAGCCTTAGCATATCTTGATTCAAGTTACTGCTCAAATGACATATTTTATTCTTGCAGCAAATATTTTTTGAGATACCGATATGTCACAGTTACTGATCTTACTCATCATCCAGAAAAAAGCCAGGCAATTAAATTGGCCCTTGCAATGTAATACAGAGAGTTGACAGCTGTGAGTTACGTGTGCCATGGGTGCACAAAGAAAAGCTCCCAATCCCACTGGGTGAATTAAGAAAGACTCCAGGGAGAGTGCATATCATCTCCTAGGCCCAAAAAATGAATAGAAATAAACGTGTGGAGGCGGCATAGTGTTCCACGCTACGGGAAGCACATATCTCTTGAGGAACTGAAGGCATTTGTTAAGTCTAGGACAGTGTGAGTGTGTTGGGGGCATGGTATGTGTTGCAGGCCACGGGGATGCAAGCAGTGTGAGAGAAGAGGCTGGAGGGGTGGGCCAGGGCCTTGTAAGCTGTTTTAAGAACCCTTCCCAGTGGCTGTCCCTAGAGGCAGTTGTTCTCAACACTGACTGCACATTTATACCCCCTGGGGAGCCACGGGGGGAGCCTGTCAGAAATACCAATAACAGACCCCCCATCCAAACCAAGTAAATAGGACCCCAGTGTGGCATGGAACTCTAGGGTCCATACATTTTAATTTCCATACTTAGCTTCTAGAGAATTTATCATGGAGAATGGTGTCATGTGTCACAGAGATAACCCTTTCAAAACTAAAATTTAAAAAGATTTATTTTATTTTATTTTTTAGGATTTTGAACTCAACAATGAACTAAAGATGAATGTCCTAAATTTACTAGAAGAAGTTCTGCGAGACCCAGACCTTCTTCCCCAAGAAAGGAAAGCCACCGCAAATATCCTCAGGTGAAGGCAACTGAAGATGCCGACTGGATGACATTGGTTGATTCTTGTTTGTTCATAGAAAATAAGAGCCTAGCAAACCAGAAGAATAAATCTTAGAATCCTGGGGACAGTGGGGTCTATGTTCTCAGCAGTAAAGTGTTATGTATCAACTTCTCTTTCCTGGGGGCAATGTGGGGTCTGCTGTCTCAGGAAGACTTGGGACAGGGTGGTATAACTCATGTGGAGTGCAATTGCCGTTATCTATGGAGGCAGACAGCGGTTTACCGTAGAACCAACAGTTAAAGAAAGGAACCCTTGAGGAGCCTCTCCTGCGAGTCCAGCAGGCATCAAAGAGAAATGATGTTTCCTCGTGTGGGTTATTGTAAGCTCATGTTTGTGAGGGTGGTAGTGTCTATAGGAGTCTCATGCACCTAAATTGTGGATGGGCCATCACAGAGTAGTTATGAATTTTCTTTGGCTCATTTCACTGGTCCCGACCAACTTTTCTACAGCTTGTCAGTTTAGGATTTCCACATCATGTAGGTGGTATAATTGTGGGGGATTGTCTAAGGTAGGACTCCACACTTCTAAGTGATAAAGTCTTCAACTTTGGGCATAGTGCTAGAGATTTGTGTCCATAGTTGTTGCACCCAGTATCCAAGTGGGTAACAAGCTTTCTTATAGCTTCTTGAACTGGTGGGTGGATTTTTTTCTTGTCCACTCTATGTGGAAAGGGCGGCCATCCCGGCTTTGTGCAGACATTTCAGTTGCAGCTTCCCAGCTCACTCATAACTATGTCCTCTGTCCTTGCTTGGGGATGGGAAGCCCAGCATCTCTCTGCAGAGTCTGGTACTTGTTTACCACTCTGATTTCTAGTTCCCTCTTCATTTACAACCTCTAGAAATGACCCTTCCTTTCCTGGAAGCTTGGCTGCATTGTCTCCTTGTTACATGCTATCCAGAATGCTTGTGTCATCCACAGGCAGTCTATTTTAGCTCAGTCCATGTTTCTGCAAGTCCTTCCTGAAGCAGCAACACCAGATGTTGGTTTGTGATGTGTTAGCAACTGGCCTGTAAGTCTTTCTTAGCCCCCATTAGCTGAAGATCCCATAGCCGGGCCATTCTTTGGTGAAGGGACTTTTATGGGTAGAATTGTATCTCCCTATCCCCTAAAAGAAACATTGAAGTCCCAGCCTCCCATACCTCAAAATGGACCTCATTTGGAAATAAGGCCATTGCCAATGTTATCAGTTAAGATGAGTTACTGGAGTAGGGTGGACCCCAATCCACTTCGATTGGTGTCCTTATAAGAAGTCAACCATGGAAGACAGACACAGAGACAATGCCATCTGAAGATGGAGGCAGAGACTGAGTTATGCAGCTGCAAGCCAAAGAAGGCCAAAGATCGCTGGCAAACCACCAGCAGCTAAAAAGGCAAGGGAGGGTTCCCCTCCAGGATTCAGAGGCAGTGTAGCCCTGCTGACAGTTCGATTACAGACCTCTGTCTGGAAGGTGAGACAATACATTTCTGTTGTTTTAAGCCACCCAGTTTGTGGGATTTTATTAGGGCAGCCCTAGGAAACAATTAGGGGCCTTCTCCACTTTTTCCATTCTATGAAAACATCTAAATAAGCCCAGGGATTCCATTACTGTGTCTGTTTTCAGATTTTGAAATTGTAAGTACATATTAAGGTGAAGCCAGGTTTCAGTGCATGAGGGACTCTGAGTGATTACTGTTTCTTCTCTCTTCATAACTGGTTTGTTATGTTCTTTGCGTTTAAAACACTAATATTTAAAAACTACATTCTGGAAGTTTGTGCCCCTAGGGATATTTGACTAAATAGCTGTCAGGGAAGTGAGGGTGTTCAGGCTGTGAAAAACTGTCAGGATCAACCAACATGAGGGCCTTTTGTTGCCAATCCCCTCAAGACGCCGATGCCAGACTTTACCCATCAATTCTGAGAGTTTTCTCTCTGCACCAGGAGGTGACCTCAGAAGTCAGTTAGTTGGAGTTGGTTCTTAAGATGAATCCTGTTTACCATCCCAGGTCTTGATATTCATCAGGCTTCAGATGTGCCAACTCTTTTGGCTGAATAATGACCTGAGAATTAGCAGCGTAGGCCTGATAGGGAATAGAAATTTTAGTCGGCAGTACAGCTTGAAACTACAACACTGAGCAGAGTCTGATTCTACCTTTTGCAGGATGTCACAGGGCTAAATCTTGGCTCAGCCATTTACAGAGGTCAAGTTCTCAACCATTCCAAACATGTTTCCTCATTTATAAAGTTGGACTCGTAATAGCTACTTCATTAGGTTGTTGTGAAGAGTACATGACGTGAAATGTGTAAGGAGGTTAACATGATGCCTGAAAAGTCATTAGCACTCGTAGTAAAGTGAGTATTATTACTGTTAGAAGCACTGACAGTAGTTCCCAGAAAAAGTAGTTTCTACCATTAAGGCCATATTGCCCAAGTGAAACCAGGCTGGATCTTACTCAAACTCAACATTCTTTAGGCTTCATCACCTTTTCCACACACAGAGAGTGTAGACCAATCCCAGGACAGACACTGGTTGCTTTTGGCTTTGTTTTTGGACTACCCTAATTGAAAGAGGAATTTTCCAATCATACAACTTGGATAATCCCATTTCCTTTTATTTGGTATTTCATTATAAACGCACAATTATTAAACTGATGATACTGTTATAGACGTGGTAGTGATGGTGGTGGGGAACCCAGGGTCCTGGAATGTTCATCAATGCCCAAGGGTCGCCAGAAGATGAGAAGCAAATCTTTTCTCTATAGGAACTGAACCAGAAGTGCAGAGGCCTCCACATCTGAAGGGAAAGAATTCTGAACCATGCCCTCTAGAAAATACAGGCTATGACTGTGAGAGATAAAAAACATATCATATGGTGGTTAAGTGCAGCCCTGACTTTAGAGATTTATATGCATTCCTGACATATAAGAGATATGAACATAAAACATGTTTTTACGCATAGGTTTCATTAATGCAATAAAGCAAATGCTCTTTTGAATGAAGCCTCCCTGACTCACAGCCTCACAGGGATCACTTGATGAATACACTTAATTGCCATACATAGTTTATTGCCCTGTTTGTAAATAAAAACCTCTACTCAAAACTTGTATTTCTAAAATACCATCTCTCCTCCTCCAAAGTTGTCTAACTAGCTGTCTTCAAAATCTATTCAGTGTAGAGATTTTTCTAGACACCCAACATGCCACAAAATAAAAGAAACAGTGATTAACTTCTTGGATGTTCCACTGTGATGGGCTCAGGTCATAGAAAAGTCATCCCCAAACCCCACGTAGCGTCAGTGAGAAGACATAAAATGTTAGGTAACTTGATGGAACCAGAGTGCATCTTGGAAAATGAGGGTAAGATCATTGAGAAGAGAAACAATTTGATGGGAGCTAACTAACTTTTTGACCTTTTCTTTCCAAGGGAAAGATATTATCCCTCTTCGTAAAAAGATCTTTCCCACTGGTACACATAATTATGGAGCCACCGATCTCTCTCCGGGAACCTAGAATGGCGGAAAAGATGACGTGCACTTTCAGAAAAGTCACTTTTATCCCCCATGTGTAACCCTTCATGCGATTTAATAGGCTTGGGAGAAAGAGTTAGCTTTAACTTATTTTTTCCACATCTTAATCTGCCCTTTAAGATAAGATGACTATTTCTACTCACAAATACTATGGCTAAGTGCCAATAAGAGGGCTGCTGCTAGTATAATCCGAAGCCTCCTGCTCCCCCTTCAGACAGCCGAGGGAAGGGAGTTGTGTTTATCGACTGTGCTGACTGTGCTGTGTGTGGAAGCCTTGGAGAGGTGCCTTCCCTGAGCCTGCTTAAGAGAAGTGCAGAGTAAAAGAAGGGCCCACAACCTTGGGCAACTTAGTCAGTGTCTTTGAGCTTTTGTTTCCTTATCTGTAAAACGGAGATCACAATGCCTGCATTATCCACTATCCTGTATAACAATCCCTTGGAAGGGATTTGTTAGGATACAGGAGATAGTGCATGTCAAATGTTCAGCACATGCCTGGCACAGAGCGGGCATACAGGAAGCCATCTCTGTTGATATTATATTTTTGAGGGTTGTGGTGGTTGTTTTAATCAACTCAGAACACAACAGAACAATGCATCATCATTACTTCTTTTAAAACTGGCTTCCTGCAGCAGGCAGAGTACATGGTTTGGGACCGTTTAACTATTTTAATACTTTTAATATGTGCTTGTGCCTTCCTTTTGGAAAACATAAAATCCTTGGCTCCAATGGCACATTATGTAATTGGATGCCTACTGGACTCCAGTTTTCCTGGACTCTGAACTTCTGTTGGACATAAAATACCCTGTAGTCTGAAACAAGTATCTAAGGTATTAACGTGTATTTATTCATTTACTCATTCATTCATTCATCATTTATTTTTTTAAAAGATATTTATTGAGAGCTGAATAACATGTATGAGATTCAGGGCCAAAAGTGTCTGAGGAAGGTCTACCTGGAATGCAAGGGGGAAGAAGCTATCTGCTGGCTCCTGTCTGGCATTGTTCAGAGTCTTGCTACATAAGAACCCCCTGTGCTTCTGGTCTACGTAAGCTTGAGAAGGGGGTGGCCCTGCATCTCCCGCCTCTGTGACAGCAGGGAAGGCCTACGGTAGGGGATAGAGGTGTGGGGAGGAGGGCACTCAGGCCTAGGAGTATTACTGGCTGATAGCATTAGACGATGCTCCATTTTACATTATAGATGGTAACTCAGAGCACACCCAGCTCACTCTCAGACTCGCTGTGATGGTGGTGGTTTCATTTACAACCGTCTATGTCACAGGTTGGCTCTTTGTTCTAAATCAGCTGTCCCGATGATTCTCTCATGCCTTGAGCATGTTTTCTGTTTGGGGATTGCTCATCTCCAGCACAGCAGCCAGTTGTGCTGCATGGCCTTGTAGACCCAAATCTTCAGACCTCCCATCCAGGGAAAACCAAACTGCATTTTGTAGTTTTGTTCCTAGGTTGTCTTTTTTTTTTTCCACGGAGGATAATTTGATATCTTTTTCAGGGCCCTCTCACAAGATGACCAAGATGACATCCACCTAAAATTAGAGGATATAATTCAAATGGTAAGTCTGACCACATTTTTATCTAGCACATCTATGTGCAAACTACCTCGCCAAGGTGGGCAATATGCTTGTAACTGATCAGGAGTGTTGTAGCATTAGGCCCTCTGTCCTATCTATGAAGCTCTGTGAGATGAACCACATTTGGCGTGGGGTCTAGCAGTTGGTCTAAGATATTCATGTTGGCTTTGATATTTTTAGCTTTCTGCTATTTTTTTCACAGTTAGAATTTAGTGGTGAACTTCATGCTTCCACACATGCCGCTGTTTGCCTCGCTGACCTGCAATGAGATGGCAGGCACCCTCTCTCGGGTGTTTCATTTCCCTCCCTCATCTCTTGCAGACTGACTGCATGAAGGCCGAATGCTTTCAGTCCTTGTCGGCCATGGAGCTGGCGGAACAGATCACCCTCCTGGACCATGTCATTTTCAGAAGCATTCCCTACGAGTGAGTGCCACCCCCGACAGCAGCAGGGCTTGGCTGCACTAGCTGGCTTAGAAGTTGACATTATTCCTAAGGCAGATTGTGTGTGTGTGTGTGTGTGTGTGTCCCCTCAGTTCCTGTGTGAATATCTACCAATTGTTTCCATCCATAGAACTGGCACACCTCTGTGTCCAGCACTCTGCAGGGTGGGAGCAGGACCAACAACAGCAAGGGACAAAGAACCTTGCCCAGGGACTCAGTCAACTTAAGTACGTGTCAGAGTAATTTCGAGTGTTTTTAATGCCTATACAAAATAATTCCTATATGCTCCATCTCGCTTGTCCCTTGTTTCTTGCTGTGTCTGGTGACCTGCTCAGGAATGAAGGGAATGATCAGGGATGCTGCCCTGAAGACAGCTCATCTGACCAGGTGGAGCTTCTGCCCCGCTGAACTGCCTGGGCAGGGGAACGTGCGGTACAAGCCTAAAAGGAGCGGTTTTTCAGCCCTGACCATGTGCACCCTCCTGAGCTCTGGGGAGAACAAAACACGATCCCTGCCTTTGAAATCTGCATCCTCCAGGAGAATGGCAGGCAGGGCAGAGCGGAGGGAGAAAATTCTGCTTCTGACTAACATTTTTGGCAGTGATGAAATTTTTGGACCCTCTGCTAAGGCTTAATATTTGTAAAAGCTAAAGCCTGTAATCCCAGCACCTTGGGAGGCCGAGACGGGCAGATCACGAGGTCAGGAGATCGAGACCATCCTGGCTAACATGGTGAAACCCCGTCTCCACTAAAAACTACAAAAAACTAGCCGGGCGAGGTGGCCGGCGTCTGTAGTCCCAGCTACTCGGGAGGCTGAGGCAGGAGACTGGCGTAAACCCGGGAGGCGGAGCTTGCAGTGAGCTGAGATCCAGCCACTGCACTCCAGCCTGGGCGACAGAGCGAGATTCCGTCTTAAAAAAAAAAAAAAAAAAAAAAAAAAAAAAAAAAAAAAAAAGCTAATCCTGGGAAAATAGTCTTGATTTCTAAGGTAGTATTTAACCTCTTTATTTCCCTTGTGTTGGTTCTTGTTTTCCACCTTCAGAGAAGCCTTTATAGGATCCTAATAGGGACACAGTTCCAAACATTCATAAGAGAAAGCTGGAAACTGAAGAATCTTCCTTTTTGGCATTGAGAGGTAAACTGCTAGAGCCGAGGTAAAATTCACTTGTGAGGCTGGCAGCAGCAGGTGTCAGGAACCATTCTAGGCCGTGTCAAATGGAATATTTCTAATATTCATGACAATCATCCAGGATCATAGCCAGCACATTTTTAAAAACTTATTTGGTTTTGTGTTTTGTTTTTCACTTTCAGGGAGTTTCTTGGGCAGGGGTGGATGAAGCTGGATAAAAACGAAAGAACTCCTTACATTATGAAAACCAGCCAACACTTCAACGACGTGAGTAACCATAACAGTAAAACCTTGGGCGTGTTACAAGAAGATGGATATTGGGGTCTAAAGACTCCTCTAAAATAAAGCAACTCTGTCACCCCCCCTTTTTTTTTTTTTTTTTTGAGACAGAGTCTCGATCTGTCACCCAGGCTGAAGTGCAATGGCGTGATCTCGGCTCACTGCAAGCTCCGCCTCCCGGGTTCAAGCAATTTGCCTGCCTCAGCCTCCCGAGTAGCTGGGATTACAGGCGCGTGCCATCATGCCCGTCTAATATTTTTGTATTTTCAGTAGAGATGGGGTTTCACCATGTCGGCCAGACTGGTCTCGAACTGCTGACCTCAGGCAATCTGCCCGCCTCAGCCTCCCAAAGTGCTGGGATTGCAGGCGTGAGCCACCGCACTCAGCCTGCCACCCACTTTTTAAATAGAATTGATGGGATATTGAAGACAAGCTTACATCTCCTCTAGGAGCTCACAGTAATGTAATAATGTCCAATTAACTTCCTGACATAAGAGGTTCACCTTTGACGGTACCCAAGTCTGGCAAGTGCTCAATAATGTACAGGTTGCTGTTCCTATTTTTATCATCATCACTACTTCCTGGTCATAAACTGACTAACAGAATGCGCAGTACATGTGTCACTGGCCCCTGGTGGTGCTGGTGATGGTAAGGCTGGGTTGGTGCAAGTCCTCATCATTACTGAACGTTCAGCCTGAATTACATTCCAGGGTTGGAAGGGGCCTCTTGGAGCATAATCCCATTGTTGCTGTAGTTCTGTGCAGCAGTGGCCAGCTGTCGGTCCATCTTCCAGCTCTGCTTTTTCCCAGCAGTAAGATTGGGAGATGCTTTTATACCTCCCTGCTCTTAATTAGTGCTGTTCTCATAGTCTTAGTCCTGTGGTAGAACAAGTAACAGGTGTGCGAGTGTCTTCTGGCCTATCCAGGCAACGGGAAGCCTCCCTTTCCAGTTTCACTAAACTATAATAAAAGGAATAATGATTTTAAAAACTACGACGACAACAAACTACCAGGAACCCCATAGGTACATTAATAAATCATCTAGAATCAAAATGCAAAAGCGACAGTTTAGATTCCCAAGACAGTGTTTCATGCAGGCTTTCCCCAGAGTACGTGGATGCTGAGTGAATGCTACCACACAGTAAGCTTCAGTGCCGCGGCTGCCTAAGGGACATGGGGCATGGCCCATCTAGTCCCTGCCCTGAGAAACAGGTTCCCTGCTGTGGGAAACTAACCTCTGTTACCTGTGGTGAACTAACACACGGGATATAATGGACACTCAAAGAGAGGTTTGATCCCAGGCTCCAGACCCACATATCTCCTCCGCTGGGACGGCCACTGCATTGCACTCTTGACAATGACAGATGGAACCTTTCATCTGCACCCCAGAGCCGCCAAGCCTGCTTCTTCATTGTCCTCTCTGTTCTCAGTCTCGGGTAGTGGCCTCACCATACACTCACTCACCCAAGCCCAGGATCTAGACGTCATCTCCCTCACCACCTCACCCTTACCACTGCCCACCATATTTGTAAACCCTAAATCTACATGTATCTCAGGCCCTTCCCCACCCTGCCTTCCCCGCTGCCACCACCTTGATATGTGGCCTTTTATCCTTTCTCTCCAGGAGCTCCTAACTCATCTCTCCCCTGCAACCTCACTGCCCTCCAATCCATCTGTTAGGTTCAGGGTCAGGTTCCAGCCCATGCTGAGGTCCGAGGGGAGTGGGTGGATACCTGAAAGAACATGCAGGGGGCCGTAGGTAGGTGAAAGATGATTTTGTTCAGCAGGAGTTCTCATCAGCAGCTCTTTCATCAGCAGCTCTCTTATGCCATCCGCTCTGTCTCAGCTGCTTGAGCCGGTCACTCCCACGCATAGCTATGTGGCCAGCTCTCCCTTGCCTTCAAGGTCAGCAACTTAACTCTTTCTCTCTCTGGGCATGAGCTCCTGGACCATGTCAATAGGGCAATTATACCTTTTACAGACAACAGTGGCTTAGAGCCAAGTGATGGCCCTCCATGTTTGGCTACATGGCTGTGATAATAGTGGAGTTACACGCCAATGCTCTAAACTCACTGAGTCCCTCTGGCCCAGATGTCCACCTTGGCCTATCCTTGACCAAAGCACATATACCTTAAACCATCCTTCATGCAGTGGCACAGGAATGACTTCTCTGAAAGGTCAATCTAATTATCTCCCTCCCTTTGACAAAAATCCGTCAGTGGCTTCCCCTTACCTTAGGGATATGGTCCCAACTGCTCAATCTGGCATACAGGAGCCCAGCCCATCTGTCACCCTTGTCTTTCTCAGTTCTTGTGCCCCTCAGATGGCTGCCAGATCCTCCATTACACCATCCCTCCCACCTCTGTCCCTTGCTCTTATACTTGGATCCTTTAAGACTCAATGCAAGGCTGGATACTATAGCTCACACCTGTAATCCCAGCACTTTGGGAGGCTGAGGTGGGAGGATTGCTTTAGCCCAGGAGTTCAAGACCAGCCTGGGCAACATAGTGAGACCCTATCTCTACAAATACAAAAACTTAGCCAGGCATAGCAGTGCATACCTGTGAAGGCTGAGGTGAGAGGATCACTTGAGCCCTGGACGTTGAGGCTGCAATGGGCTGTGATCATGCCACTGTACTCCACCTGGGGAAACAGAGCAAGCTCCTGTCTCCAGAAAAAAAAAAAAAACATCAATGGAGGCATGACCTCTTCCTGGAAGCCTCCTCTGTACCAGACCAGATGCCCCATGCTGCCTGTTTATTCTCAAACACCGCCGTGAATAGACTTCACTTTGTGTTTCACCGCATGGCATTTACCTGTCTATGTATCTGCAACCCTCCCCTTCCTACCTACCTAGGCTCAGATTGCATTAAGGTCATGGATGGATTTATTTGTCTTTCTGTTCCCAGCACCTAAAAGAATCTATTCTATCCCATTTCCTCAATAGTTATTGGCAAGAACTTCTTCATCAAAATTACTGATTAACAAAACCATTTATTCCCAGAACAAACTGGATTCCAAATAATTCCTCTCCTCACGCTAAGGATATGCAGGCCCTCAATGAATAGCACTGCAGTAGGTGCTTTAGTGAATTTCCACAGTGGTGTTGAGGCACTATGAGGTCTTAAGTATCTTCAGAATCATCAAAGAATGGGTGAATCCATCAGATTTAGTGTATGGATATAAGATTATCCGCCCTGGCTGGGCGCCGTGGCTCACGCCTGTAATCCCAGCACTTTGGGAGGCCGAGGTGGGCAGATCATGATGTCAGGAGATGGAGACCATCCTGGCTAACACGGTGAAACACCGTCTCTACTAAAAACACAAAAAAAATAGCCGGGCGTGGTGGCAGGCGCCTATAGTCCCAGCTACTCGGGAGGCTGAGGCAGGAGAATGGTGTGAACCCGGGAGGCGGAGCTTGCAGTGAGCCGAGTTTGCACCACTGCACTCCAGCCTGGGGACAGAGCGAGACTCCGTCTCAAAAAAAAAAACATTACATGCCCTATATTACCTTTGTTAATATGGTAATCCTATTTCACTTTTTTCCTTTCCATATTGCAAGAGCTGAGCTTCTTAAACTGGTTTTAAGTAATAAAATTACAGTACTTAGCCTCAAAACTGTAGGTCCTTTTAACTGCTGGTGAAGAACAAGATAAGACGAAGAAAATGTTCTCCTTTTCCCTGCAGCCGAGTGATTCTGGTTTGAGAGTTAATCAGTTCAGAATTTGATCTAACTGGGGGCAAGTGTGTTTTCTTTCTCTGTGGTAACTGTGGCTTCCCAGAGTGAGGAATCACACACTGTTGGGGCCCGAGGCGTCAGGGGAAAGGCCCCAGGGAGTGATCCATGATCTGCAGACACTGCCTTTCCGCAGGCGTTAGGTTATTTTGTCCCATTTCCTCAGTAATTATTAGAAATGACACCATCAAAATTGCTGATGAACAAAATCACCTCTTCCCCCAACAAGCGGGAAGCCAGATAATCCCTCTCTTCACTCAAAGGACAAACAGATGCTCATTAGTTTATTCTTATAGACTTTAGTCTCTTTAGAAAGTGGGTAGCTAAATGTAGAATATGATCAACATCCTGCCTTCCTGACATGTCTGCAGATAATTTACGTAATTTGCCTAAATGCATTGCTTTGGCTCTTAGACTGCCTTTCTGGGCTCTTTGATTGTCTCAGATGAGTAACCTGGTGGCCTCCCAGATAATGAATTATGCTGATGTCAGCTCCCGTGCCAACGCCATCGAGAAATGGGTGGCGGTGGCGGACATCTGCCGATGCCTGCACAATTACAACGGCGTGCTGGAAATCACCTCGGCCTTGAACAGAAGTGCCATCTACAGGCTGAAGAAAACCTGGGCCAAGGTCTCTAAGCAGGTGAGCCTCAGCGTGTGACACAGCCTGCTGCTAAGAGGAGGAGAGGTTGGGAGATGGGAGCCAAGTTAAATATTACTAATTAGGAAATCATTAACCGAAATGAGCCACTCAGTTGCCAAAGAAAGGTGCCAACATGGGTAATTACAGTGCTCTTACCACTTAATTGATTTCATTCGTGTGTATTTCTAAACCATTCATTAAAGCATTTTGGGGGACAGCCACAAACAATGTGGTTGTCAGTCAAGAGCTGTTTCCTGAATTATTTCGGAGGGCACATTGACTTTGAGTAAGCACAATTATGTCCAATGGGTCCATTCATTCTCTCCCAGAGTGAGGGTGCAAACTCTGTGGGGCCAAAAGCCAGGGACAAAAGGCCTCATTTTTCACCTTTTTCTTGCTCATTCATGTAGCAGATGTAAAGTTTTGGCATAATGACTTAGATGTACAGAAATATAATTTTCATTTTCTTTAATTAATCTCAACTTGCCCATGCCTGTCGTTTTCACTCAGATAATTTCAAGATTCAAACTAAATCATGATTCTTCCCCTGCCCTTTCTGCTGGCCTTCTCCCTGGGTGTTGGGTGCCTGGGAGGGCATCTCTGGGCTTCTGGGCACCTGTCTGCTCCTCTGGCCTCCTGTGGTCATTCTTTGCTGATTATTCATTGGGCACAGGCTGCTGTGAACTGCCTGTACCTGGTGTCACCTGGCCTGCCTGTCCCGCCCAGGAACAATGCATGGTGATTGCACCCAGGGAGTGTGGCTGACCTGGCTTCAGGGGTGAGGGGGAAGTTTCCAGGCTCCCACGTCCCATTGGTGCCAGAGGGTAGGAGGGTCTACATCAGGCCCTGTCTGCCTAACCCTCCCCTGCCTTGCTGTGAACACCCAGAGCTGGTGAGGGGAATCTATAGAGTGCCACCTCCAGGGTCCCAGACCAGAAGATCTGGGTATAGTCTGCTGACATGGCCTAAAAACTGTCTTGTTTTATCACCCCACTCTGAGAATTTCAGCCCCTCTCAGAGACATTCATTCTTTCTTTTCCGTCTTCATTTTGCCCTCCAAGCCTTTCCCTTTAGCATAGGAGAACAATTTAATTTCCCCATGTGGCAGGAAACCAAGCCTAAGTCATATCTTTTATCTTGCCTTCTCCCACTTATTTCTTAGTAAAAATGCAGTGCTCTGAGAATCCCAAATTCGGCCCCTTAGAATTCACAAGTCCTCTTTTCTGTCAACAATGGACCTAGTAAATAAAAGCCACAGTTTTTACAAATATTGGTTAAAAAAAAAAAAACCAAATTTTTGTTTTGAGATGATTATAGCTTCACATGCAGTTGTAAGAAATAACACGGAGATTCCCAGCACCTCACACCCAGTTTCCCCCAGTAGCAGCATCTTGCATTACTATAGACAGTATCACAACTAGGAAATGAACATTGGTGCAATCCACCAGTTTTATCCAGATTGCACCAGCTTTCTAGGGATCACCAGCTATCACCAAGGGATCCCTAAATCTTCCTTAAGAAAATTTCCAGGTCCACTCTGTAGTTAAGTGATATTCTTGTCTTTCATAGGATGCGGGTTTAGGAATAACCAAACTGATCATGAAATAGAGATGGATGAGACTAATATTGAAATGATTGTTTCAAAATTTGAATATACCATCTGTAGAGGCTCTAAATAAAATGTTAGCATTTCAGTCACATTATAGGTCACTCACAGTGGCCTTAGCATGGGCTAGTGGACTGTCCTCCAGAGAGGCTGTCTCTAGAGCCAAGTGCCTTACTCCAGTCATGGTAGGTAGGGCCTGGTTGCAGATATGCCCTGCTTCAGACACATTTGATGACAACATCTGCTGTGCAGCTGTCCCTTCTCTGCATCTGAGATCAGCCGGGGAGTTGTTCAGCAGGCCTGATAATCTGTACTCTGGAACCCACAGATTGGTCTGTGGCTGTAGGACAGGTTGTACTTTTGCAACTGTTTTGAGCAAGGTTAGCCCTGGACCAAGCAGGAGGTCTCTGAGAGCCCTGAGACACCAGAATTGGGAAGACAGCTGTTTGCCTCTCAGGAAGCTGTGCAGCTCCTCTCCAGGTGAGACAAAGTAGTCTGAGGACCCTCAACCTGGGCATTCAAGTTCTTCTCCAGGTAGGACCTGGATCCTCCATGCCCAGCCAAGCTGCCTGGATGTGGGTATTCCCGGGAATGGGTTATCCTCCCCAAGGGCCACCCTACCACTCTCCTATGTTCATGGAAGAAACCCCAGACCAATGTCAACAACAATGTTATTTCTCAGTAATTATCAGTTATACTTCTCTAACAAATTGATGAAGAAGATCACAAAAGAAAGGATCTGTAGTAGAGGACATTGTTCAGTCAATACCAAGGCAACCAAACGTGTGTTTTGGTCATTTGGAGATTAACACTCAAAAGGATTCATCGCAAAAGCTGTCTGACATGAGACCTCTCCTTTAAGATTCTACATTTGGCCTGGTGCGGTGGCTTATGCCTGTAATCCCAACATTTTGGGAGGCCGAGGTGGGCGGATCACTCGAGGTCAGGAGTTTGAGACCAGCCTGGCCAACATGGTGAAACCCTGACTCTACTGAAAGTACAAAAATTAGCCGGGCATGGTGGCGTGTGCCTGTAATCCCAGCTACTCAGGAGGGTGAGACAGGAGAATCGCTTGAACCCGGGAGGCAGAGGTTGCAGTGAGCTGAGATCGTGCCACTGCACTCCAGCCTGGGCGACAGAGCGAGACTCTGTCTCAAAAAAAAAAAAAAAAGATTCTATATTCAACATGTGCTTGTCAATTTTTTTTTTTTTTTTTTTTTTTTTTTTTTTTTTTTTGAGACAGAGTCTCGCTCTGTCGCCCAGGCTGGAGTGCAGTGGCACGATCTCGGCTCAGGTTCAAGCAATTCTCCTGCCTCAGCCTCCCAAGTAGCTGGGATTACAGGTGCCGGCCACCATGCCCAGCTAATTTTTGTACTTTCAGTAGAGACGGGGTTTCAGGATGTTGTCCAGGCTGGTCTCAAACTCCTGGGCTCAGGTGATCAACCCGCCTCAGTCTCTCAAAGTGCTAGGATTACAGGTGTAACCCACTGCACCTGGCCTACTTGTCAGTTCTTTAAGTGCCTGTTTTCTATCCATTGCAATTTTTCTTTCCACACATTTTCCCTCTTTTTGGCTAAATGTGTAGATACAGGCACTTCCTCTTCTCCATATGTTGTTAGCATTAAATGTAAACATAATGCCCTATCTCTACATCTTGAGAATCCTATCACACAATGACCTTTATTCTGGCAAAGGTATCAGCACCTGCCACCAAAGAAGAGAACTGAACATCTTTTGGCAATTCACTGTCTTTTTAAACCATAGTATTTTCATCACACTAAGTTTTTTCTTTTCTTTTTAGACAAAAGCTCTAATGGACAAACTTCAAAAGACTGTTTCCTCTGAAGGAAGATTTAAAAATCTTAGAGAAACCCTTAAAAAGTATGTGTATCTTAATTATTAAATTATTCATAATTCAGAAATATATTTACATAATGTGTATAGTATACAAACAGTGACCTACCGCCTACTTTGCTTTGAAAAGAAAAATAAATGGGAAACAACTTATATCATCTAGGTATTTTTCTGATTTTCCTTACTATTTGGAATACTGTGCATACAGTACTTGTCTTATGGATATACTCATGGCATGCAGATTAAGAATTAAGAAGGCAATACCACCATAATAAATCAGACTTTTACTGTAAAAATTTTATTGATTCAGTTATTTCCTAATCTAAGCACAATGATTTCCTGTGAGTTTTATTTAAATATTCCAGCACCTGTTGATTGTTATTTTTGGTCTTTGGTTTCTAGATCATTCCCTTTCTACACACACACACACACACACACACACACACACACATACACAGAGAAAGAGAGAGAGAGATTGAGATTCTCCTGCAACTGGTATTCTCATAATCTACCACATGTACTTACCGTAGAAAAACATGAGTCCTGTGATGGTATGAGTGAAAGCAAGACTAAGACGTAATAATAATAATAATAATGCAACAGCAATAATAGTATAAGAACGAACTAACAAAGTATTTACTAAATGACAGGTTTCATGCTAAGTGCTTGATGTGTGTATGTAAGCCTCACAAGAAATTCAAGAGATAAGCTTTTCTATCTCCATTTTACAGAAGAGGAAACTGCAGTTCAGAGAGTGTTTCCAGTATCACTTAGTAATTGGTCAAGCTGGGATTCGAACCCAGCTCCTCCTGCATCAAAAGCCCATGTGCTTAGCTTTCGGCCCCTGAGAAGACCAAGTATACCCAGCTCTCTCTAAAAACTAAACAAAACAGTGTCTCACCTTAGTCTGAGTTGTGATGTTAAGTCTACACTTTCTAAAACATTTAAGAACCAACTAAAACAGAAAACAAGTTTTTACCAGTACAAAGCTCTCATTGCATGGATTTTTCCATCTAGTTCATCAAGGCTGAATGCTTGATTTAAAGAGGTAAGACCACAGAGGTTTTCCTCCAAGCTTCTACCCCTCAAAGAAGTGTGGGCAATTTATAAGTATTGCAAACAATTACTGCTAGCAAATGCTTTGTATTTGTCTCTAAGATATCCTGTTGTTTGAACATGCCATTTTGTTTTTCAAACATGTAGTAAAGCATGGGCTGTCATTTTTGTATTTTATTCTATTGTGAAATGTGTTTAAAATTCTACGTATCATGAATATGCTTCTGAAACTGAAATAAAAAGAGTTCATTCTTCAGGATCAAAGGAGGATCCTTTAATCCTCCTTTGTTTAATTTGGGGAGGGAAATAGACATTTATTCAAATGAGCCTCAGAACAGTGCCTCTTGGTCTTGCAGTTGTAACCCTCCTGCAGTTCCTTACCTTGGGATGTACTTGACAGACCTGGCATTTATTGAAGAAGGAACACCAAACTTCACTGAGGAAGGCCTTGTCAATTTCTCCAAAATGAGAATGGTAGGTATAATTTCATAATTAGCCTGTTTCAAAGGCTTTAGAGGTTTATAGAGAAGAGGCTAAGTAATAAAAGTCAATGTCTGCTTTTTTTGTTCTCCTTTTTTTTTTTGGAGAAACGGTCTTGCTCTATTGCCCAGGCTGGAGTGCAGTGGCATGATCTCTGCTCACTGCAACCTCTGCCTCCAGGTTCAATCAATTCTCTTGCCTCAGCCTCCTGAATAGCTGAGAGTACAGTTGCGTGCCACCATGCCCAGCTAATTTTTATATCTTTAGTAGAGAAGGGTTTTCACCATGTTGGCCAGCCTAGTCTCAAACTCCTGACCTCAAGTGATCTGCCTGCCTCGGCCTCCCAAAGTGCTGGGATTACAGGCCCAGTCCAATGTTTGCTTTTTAATCTTGCGATGGATGAGGAGGTAGATACTGGGACTAATACCGGATGTGGGCTGATTGAGGAGATTTTTGGTCATGAAATCCTTATTTAAACCAATGTCTAGAAGGGTTTTTCCAATGTTATCTTGTAGAATTTTTATAGTTTCAGGTCTTAGGTTTAAGTCCTTAATCCATCCTAAGTTGATTTTTGTATAAGGTGAGAGAAGAGGATCCAGTTTCACTCTCCTACACATGGCTTGCCAATTATTCCAGCACCATTTGTTGAAAAGGGTGTCCTTTCCCCATTTTATGTTTTTGTTTCCTTTGTTGAAGATTAGTTGGCTGTAAGTATTTGGATTTATTTCTGGGTTCTCTGTTCTGTTCCATTGGTCTACCTGCCTATTTTTGTACCAGTACCATGCTGTTTTGGTGTCTGTGGCCTTATAGTATAGTTTGAAATCAGGTAGTGTGATGCCTCCAGATTTGTTCTTTTTGCTTAGTCTTGCTTTGGCTATGTGGGCTCTTTTTTGGTTCCATGTGAATTTTAGAATTATTTTTTCTAATTCCGTGAAGAATGATAGTGGTATTTTGATGGGAATTGCACTGAATTTGTGGATTGCTTTTGGCAGTATGGTCATTTTCACAGTATTGATTCTACCCATCCATGAGCATGGGATGTGTTTCCATTTCTTTGTGTTGTCTATGATTTCTTTCAGCAGTGTTTTGTAGTTTTCCTTGTAGAGGTCTTTCAATTCCTTGGTTAGGTATATTCCTAAGTATTGATTGAGGAGATTTTTGGCAAAGCCATTTCAGCATCCCCGAGGAGATGAGGAATCCAAGGATGAGTTCCTAAGACTGACTAGTGATAGACACTTTCTGAAAGCTTCTTGCTGGACAGCCAGGTTCTTTTATTTATTTATTTATTTATTTATTTATTTATTTATGACACAGTTCTGTTGCCCAGGCTGGAGTGCAGTGGCCAGTGGCATGATCTCGGCTCACTGCAACCTCCACCTCCTGGGTTCAAGTAATTCTCATGCCTCAGCCTCCCGAGTAGCTGGGATTACAAGCCCATGACACCACGCCTGGCTAATTTTTGTATTATTAGTAGAGACACGGTTTCATCATGTTGGGGCCAGGCTGGTCTCAAACTCCTGAACACAATTGATCCACCCACCTTGGCCTCCCTAAGTGCTGGGATTACAGGCATGAGCCTCCGTGCCCAGCCTGGACAGCCAGGTTCTAAGCACTAAGCTAGAAGCAAGGAGCCCACGGATGACAGCACCCAGAGCTTGCCTCTCCCAAACATGAGGCCACATAGTGCCAGCTGTTCCCCAATTTTGAATTCAGTATCTTTTTGCTTTTGGCATTTCATGTACCTCCTTGAGGGTCAAGAAAGCACCAAGCATAGGGAATGGTCAGGCAGGCTCCACCTGCCTCACTGGAGGGAGGAAGGGACTGACCCTTCCAGGAAGAGGCCTCAGAAGAATGTGCTGCAATACAGGAAATACCTTTCTCTGCTTTTGTTGTCATTTTGTTTTGTTTTTTTCTCTGTTAGATATCACACATCATCAGAGAGATACGCCAGTTCCAGCAGACTTCCTACAGAATAGATCATCAGCCAAAGGTAATATTCTGTGGCTGTGAAGGAATTAATAAAGAACAAAGGGGAAATTACTGAATTAGAAAACAACAGTAAAAGTTGATCCAAAATACTGAAAGCTAGCTCATGGAAAAGACCAGTAAAATAGAAAATCTTTGGCTAGTCTGATTAAAAAAAAAAAAAAAGGAACATCAATTCATCATCAAGTTCTGTTGATTTTACTTCTTATATTTCTTGTGATTCTGTCCCTCTTCCATTTGTCTTCACTGCCATGACCCTTGGTCCAAGCTGCCAATATCTGTTGCCTACTCTACCTGCATTCACTCTAGGATGCAAAGTTCATTCTGCAAATCACAGCTAGGTAGAGCTCTCTGAAATGCAAAGTGGATTATTTTCTCCCTTACATAAAACATTTTCCTGGCTTCCCATTGTTCTTAGGATAAAAAAAAAATTAAGAATCTTGGACATGACCATGAAGTCTCGCATTATGTGCCCCCTACTTTTTTCTTAAGATTCAATTCACATCATATACCCCCTTACTGTCTTCCATCCCAGTCACAAATGGCCTCTTATCCCCATTTTCTAGTAGACTTTACTTTTTTAGAATAGTTTTAGCTTTACAGAAAAATTGAGAAGGTAGTAGAGAAAATTCCCATATGCCTCACGGCCAATGCCCTATTATTATCTTACATTAGTATGATGTGTTTGTTAGACTTAATGAGCCCATATTGATACATTATTGTTATTATTATTATTATTATTATTTTGAGATGGAGTCTCACTCTGTCACCCAGGCTGGAGTGCAGTGGCACGATCTCGGCTCACTGCAAGCTCTGCCTCCCGGGTTCACGCCATTCTCCTGCCTCAACCTCCCAAGTAGCTGGGACTACAGGTGCCCGCCACCACACCTGGGTAATTTTTTGTATTTTTAGTAGAGACGGGGTTTCACCGTGTTAGCCAGTATGGTCTTGATCTCCTGATCTCATGATCTGCCCGCCTCGGCCTCCCGAAGTGTTGGGATTACAGGCGTGAGCCACTATGCCCGGCCGATACCTTATTATTAACTGAAGACCACTGTTTATTTGGATTTCCTTATTTTTTACGTAATATCCTCTTTCTGCTCCAGGATCCCATCCAGGACACCACATGTCATTTAATTGTCAAGGTTCTTTAGGCTCCTCTTGGTTGTGTGGTTTCTTAAGACTTTCCTTAATTTGGGTGGCCTTGACTGTTTTGAGGAGCAGGGGTCAGGTATTTTGCAGGATGGCCCACTGGTGAAATTTGTAGGATGTTTACTCAGGGTTAGCCTGGGGTTATGGGTTATTGGAAGGAAGACCCCAGAGGTGAAGTGCCATTTTCATCACATCATATCAGGAGTTATATTATCAGCCTAATTTATGACTGTTGATGTTAGCTCGAATCGCCTGGCTAAGGCAGTGTTTGCTGGGTGTCTCCGCTGTAAAGTTATTCTTTTTTCCTTCCTTCCTCATCCTGTATTCTTGGGAAGGAAGTCACTCTGAACACCCTACACCTAAGGAGTGGAGAATTATGCCTGCCTCTCCTTGAGAACGAAGTATCTACATAAATTACTTGGAATTCTTCGCTCAAGAGATTTGTTTCTTCTCCATTTATTAATTTATTCAATCATGTACTTATATCAGTATGGACTAATGGATTTAATACTTAGGATTGTCATCCAATAATATTTTATTCTATTGCTGAAACTGTTCCAAGCTTGGCCATTGGGTGCTCTTTCAGTTGACTTCTTTGTCATACCCTGATCCATGTAGGGTTTTCTCTTTTTCTTTTTTGAGGACTTTCTTAACTTTCTGATAGTATAAGATGCTCCAGGCCAGGTGCAGTGGCTCACACCTATATTCTTAGCACCTGGGGAGGCCAAGACAAGAGGATCGTTTGAGCCCAGCCAGCCAGATTACCTGGGGTCAGGAGTTCAAGACCAACCTGGCCAACATGGTAAAACCCTGTCTCTACTAAAACTACAAAAATTAGCCAGGCATGGTGGCAGGCAGCTGTAATCCCAGCTACTTGGGATGCTGAGGCAGGAGAATCCCTTGAAACCAGGAGGCAAAGTTTACAGTGAGCTGAGATCGTACCATTGCACTCCAGCCTGTGCACTCCAGCCTGGGCAACAGAGCAACACCCTGACTCTGGGGGGTAGAAATAAAAAGATGCTCTAGACTCATCTTTTATAATTTGCCCCAGTCCTAGACTCAGCTATTTCTGCCAAAAGCTCTAGTTCCTTTTTTTGGAGAATGGTTTCAGCAACCAAGATATGGACTTTAGATATGCTTGTGTTATGCAGGTATCAGCTGACAGAGCACAGGAATCTATGTGTGTATACTAACTCATATATATATATACACACACACACACACACATACACACACACACACACTTATACATATTTATAAGTATGTCTCTATGTAACCATCAGTATTTGTATTAAGCTAAATATACTGATGCCCCCAACTCTATTCTATTACCATGTGAATCATTCCAGCCCTCTCCCCACATTTGCTTATCCGTAAATTCCTTCTCCAACAGTGAGAGACACACTTTCTTTTAATAGCCCCTAGGTTTTGCCCTATTTCTGTTTGCCACAAGGCCTTTACCTATGTTCTTCCTTCTGTCTGGAGTACCTTTCTTCCTCATTGCACAGTTTACTTGTACACAGCTTAAGTATCACTTAGGAAGACTTCCCTAACTTTCCCAAACCTCACTCCACTCTTTTAAGGTTGTATTGCACCATCTAAGTCTCCTTTCTAGCACTTACTGCTGGAGTCACCATTTTACATTTGTTTGTGTGATTATGTGCACATGCATGATATCCATGAAGGTCAGAGTCAGACTTACTGTGTTTATTATCATAGCCCCAGCATCTTGCACAGTGTCTGGACCATAGCAGATAATAAATGTTTCTTGAATTAGTTAATTCAAGTCAGGAAAAAGACACAGTTGTGACCATCACTGCTACTATTCAGTTTTGAACAGGAAAAAATTTACCATGGCAATGAAGCAATAAAAAGAAGCAAAAGGTATAAAAATCATAAAGGTAAAGATTAAATACTATAATTCACAGATGATTTGATCTAGAAAATCCAAGAGAAATTATCCAAGAGAAAACCCAAGAGAAAAACTGATGAATTATTAAGGGAGTATAGCAACTGGACATGAAAAAGCCAATAATCTTCAACACATTGGCAATAACCAATTCAAATGTAATATAAAAAATCTCAATCAAAATAGCAACAAAATCTGTAATGCCTAGGATTAAGTGGGACAGGAAATATGTAAGACCTTTATGTACTGAAGTACATAAGGAGAAAGTTGTATCATATTCATGGATCAAAATACTTACTATTGTAAAGAGATCCATCGTCCTCAAATTAATCTATAAATTCATTGAAGTCCTGGTCAAAATCCCAACAGGGTTTTCATGGAACTTGACAAACTTATCCTGAAACTGTTATGGAGGCATAGATAGACCAAAAACAGACAAGAACTTTTTGGTAAATAAGAATAGTAAAGGAGAGTGTTCCCTACCAGTTATGGCCATATCCTAAACTGAGAGTAAATAAGGTAGGACTCTACTGGCCTGGCAGTGCGAATCCAGTGAGGCAGAAGAAAGTCCATGTGTGTGTTTAGTCTACCTGAAAATCTACGAGATAAAGAAGGCACTCAAAGAAAGTGCCAGAAAGAAACTGACCATTCAATAAATAGAACAGGAATTTTGGCTCTCCATCTTGCCATTCACAAAAATAAATTCCAGATAAGTTCATTACCTAAGTTTAAAAAGAAGTATTTACATTATTTGAATAAAATAAAGGATAAAATATTCATGACCTTTGGATTTGAAAGACCTTCTTAAGCACAGAATGCAAAAGCTGTAAAAGCCAAGCTTGATAAAGTTAATGAAAATTAAGGATTTCTATATGACAGAGGACAATTATTTAAGTCAACATATAAGCAGTAGACAAGGAGACAACATTTGCAACATATAAAACAAAGAAACAGAATAAAAGCATTTCTATAGTCTATAAGAAAAGCATAAACAATTCAACTCGTAAACCTGTGAATAATTAATTCACAGAAGAAACAAAATGGCCAATAAATATTTTTTAAATACTCCTCTAGTAAAGAGAGAAAATGTAAATTACAGTGGGACATCATTTTCACTTATCAGATTGACAAAAATTTAAAAGATTGATAATATCAAACCTTGCTTAGGATATGGGAAAACAGGTACTGTCACATACTGTAGGTTTGGAAGCGTTGCAGGTCATTTTCCATCATCAGTTAAAATTAAAAATTGGTATATTCAATTACTGGAACTCTTACCATTTTTGGTGAGAATAAAACCGAACAACCACTTTGCAAAACTGTGCCATTTGGAAGTTTCTTAAAATGTTAAATGAGCACCTGTCTTAGGACCTAGCAATTTCTCTCTTAGGTATTTATCCAAAGGAAAAATGAAAGCATCCTCCTCAAAAGCCTCGTATAGCCGGGCACGGTGGCTCACGCCTGTAATCCCAGCACTTTGGGAGGCCGAGGCGGGTGGATCACAAGGTCAGTAGATCGAGACCATCCTGGCTAACATGGTGAAACCCCGTCTCTATTAATAAAAAAAAAAATCAGCCGGGTATAGTGGCACATGCCTGTAGTCCCAGATACTCAGGAGAGTGAGACAGGAGAATCGCTTTAACCCAGGGGGCGGAGGTTGCAGTGAGCTGAGATCGTGTCACTGCATTCCAGCTTGGGCGACAGAGCAAGACTGGGTCTCAAAAAAAATAAACAGCCTTGTATAAAATGTTCATAACATTTCTAAATAATAGCCTCTATTTGAGAAGAGCTCAAGTGTCCATCAACAGATGAATGGATAAACAAATTATGGTACATCTCTACAGTGGAATAGTCAGCTATAAGAGGGAGCAGACTACTGGTACAGGCCACAGCAAGGCTGAATCTTAAAGCACTATGCTGAGTGAAAGAAGCCACACATGAAGGAGTACACACTGTATGATTCCATCAATATGAGGTTCCAAAGTAGACAGAACTCATATGTGGTGATAGAAACCAGGGCAGTGCTTGATTCCAAGAGCAGACTGACTGGGTAGGTGCATAAGGGAACTTTGGGAGATGCTGAAATTGTTCTTTATCATGAAATGTATGTAAGTTACATGGTGTATACATCTGTCAAAATGGATCAAACTATTCATTTCACTTTTGTGTGTTATATTTCAATAAAAATAAAGAAATGTTTTCATGGAAATCCCCCATGCCCCAACATTTTCATTTCTAGTGTCAATTGCTTTCCTTTCACTTCTGATGTCTACCCTAGCCTGGCAGAATATTCACGCATGCACACCGGGAAGCATGCTAACAAGGAATTCACCGAAACTTTGTGTAACAGTGAAGTATTGACAGCAACTCAACATCCATCAATATGAGATTATTAAATAAGCTCCAATATATTGCACTATTAATACTGTATAGCAGTTAGAGCTCTATCTACTGTCATAGGGAGCTCTTTCCGACCTATCATTAAGAGATGAAAGCAGAATAAAATGTGCACCGTGATGCCATTTTTAGGGGGGGGAAACGATATCTGTAAGTACATGTAATCTCTATAAAGACATAGAAAAACAACTGGGAGAACACAAACCAATTAGTAGCAGTAGTTTTTATTGAGGGAGGAACCTGGAATTGGGGGTTGAGAGAGGACTAGAGATGTTTGCTTTTTTTAAAAAAAAAAAAAAAATGGAAACATTTTTGAGATTTTTGGTCAAATAAGATTTTTAGGTGTTTAAGAGAAAATATTGAATTGTGTTAGATTCCCTCAGAAAATGTACGCAGTGGTATCTGAAAGAGGTAAAAGCTGGGACTTCCCTTTTTTTTCAGGTCACACAGTACTTGCTTGACAAAGACCTTATCATAGATGAAGATACGCTATATGAGCTGTCACTAAAAATTGAACCTCGACTCCCTGCTTGAAGATCTGGCCTTGCCCCTGAGTCCACGGGATGTTCATGGAAAGCAGGACAGACAGAATTGTGTATGCCTTGCCTCACATGGTACAGCACGAAGCCAGTCTCCTTTCTCCACCAAAGAAGATAGAACCAGACTGGAATTCTGTCTCCATTCAGAGAGAAACCCAGCTGTTTGGGTCAAAGACAGATGCTTCAAACTTGGGTGGGAAGGTGAAAGATGGCTATTTAGAAAGCTGGTGGCACGTTTTACGTAAGGGAATGTTAGATGGGAGATGGTAGTTGCCATTTTAACAAAGCAGGTAAATTGGTAAATTTTAAACTCTGTCCGTGTTCTGTTAGAACTCAGGGACAAGGATCCATGAAAAAGACCTGTGATGTTTCTCTGGCACTATACTGGCCTGGGCACACCTACCAATCTTCTAGGATTTGACTGGTTCCATTACATTTCCTTTTGGTATAAGCTTCACAGAAAAGCTGACACTTCCTCTACAGAGATGGACCAACACATAAGCAATTTCAGTCTACAGCATGTGCATGGTTTTCAGTGCATTCTAAATATTTCTATGTGAGGAATGGTACCTTCTGAAACTGGCTTTCCAGTCTTTAGGCAACGGGATTGGAAAGAAAGAATGAAACACAAATGGATTTGTATGTAACATTTCCTTAATTAAAGGCAGTAGGCTGTGCCCCAGAGGATTCCAGACAGTAGCTGGCTGAGGTGGGTCGGGAGCTTTTCCTTGAGACTGTTGGTCCTAAGCCGCCAACCCTCTTGGAGAGGCAGCTGCAGTTTGCAAGAAGGTGCACATCCATCTCACCGACAAAACTGTGGAACAGACAGAAGGCCACCAAGTGCTGTGGGGAATCATGGGTTTCAGTGCTGAGTGAAAATCTATACCTAAAAATCATCTCTGCACCTTGCTTTGCTTGTTTTCTTTCCCCGCTCATAGTACTGCAGGAATCTATTCTTATTTACACACCTTTTTTAGGCTTACTATGAACATTGGCTGTATTTTTTTAAAAACAGTTCAGTGAAATTTTCTTTTCAAATCCCACACTTCCATATGCTGTTCGTAGATCTCTTTCTTTACAACATGATGTTGAGAGATCTCTGAGAGTATTATAAGTGCATGGGAAATGGGCCCAACCACCGAACAGCTCTTATATTACAAAACCAAATGCAGGGGTTAGTCCTGCTACCCGAGGCTGGGGAAGTGACCTTACTTTTCCCGAGATTGTCAGTTGTTGAAGAAATAGGGCTATCTCATTGTTTACCTCCCTCTTCTCTTCTCAGGGAGACTGCTGCTTTAAAAGAAGGAAGAGAAAAAATATAGTTCTATTTCCCTGAACCTGTTGCACCTGACATTTTCTCTTAGCGGCATGAAACTTACTGATGCTGACAATGAAAAATTGATCTGTCTGGCTGTTTTCCCTCTTTCCTTGCACTTTAATTATGTTGCTAGAGCTAACAGCTGACTAATAAATTCCACCTGCTGGCTCTTAAGACCCAGTGGAAGAGCTAGCATTGGTAATGTACCATAGAGGTAGAGAATGTACATTTTCTGCATGGTAAGCGCCATCTCTGTATGTAACTATATAGTGAAATATCAACTAAGTAAAAGAAAATACAATATTTGAAGACCATTCCAAAAATATTTTCAATAGTTCACATTAGCCAACAGTGTAGCACTCAACCCAAGGAGGGTTCCTTATGGATGCTTTCTTTTTCTTTTTTAAAGTTGCTTGTTTGCTCTCTTTAGTTTCAAATAAGAGGTTGACGCATCTTGATGCATGATGAGAAGCATGGGCTGTTTGGATCCTAACAACGCATAACTTGTGATTTATTTCTCAGTGTTCAGAAGCTGAGGGTTTGAAATAATACGTATCAGTTGCACCAAACACCTCGAGGTCTTGCAGAAGAAAAGTAAAGGTTAGCTTTCTTGGCTCAAAAGCATAGTCCTGAAAGGTGAACTAAAACCATGACAAATCTGTGAGAGGACCACACACAAACTAGTTTCAGGCCAAACACATGGAAAGGTTGATGCATTCTATCTGCCGTGGAGTTGCTAGAGTCCTTCAGAGGGAAAGGATGGTTCTGCGTGTGCTTTTTGTGGAAGTCTGGCCTCATTTCTTTGACCCAAATGTTCCAGAGACGCTGCAGCCATTCTTATTAACAAAAAATAAGACAGGAGTTTCCAAATGCTCCTTCCCTTTTGGATCACAGCTTTTCAGTTAGTGACAAAGCTTTTGCACCTATTTCCTGCAGGATGTTGGAACTGCCCCGCAGTGATCATATTAGGCACTGCCGATTGCTATGCTGACTTTTAGGGGGTTTTATGTTTGTTTGAAAAACAGGGTCTCACTATGTTGCCCAGGCTGGCCTCGAACTCCTGGACGCAAGCAACCTTCCTGCCTCGGCCTCTCAAGCAGCTGGGACTGCAGGGGTGCGCCACTCGCTAGCCCTTCACATTTTTGTTTGAGAATTACACCACTTTCTGGAGTCTGCAGCCTTCCTGGAGCTGCAAGAGAGCAAGAGAGAGAGAGCTCCGCCTCTGAGGGAGTGTCTGTTGATGACCTGCACTATTCGTGTGCCAGCTGGGAGAGGAATGCACATTTCAAAACACCTTCAATTTGGTTAAATTAAAAATCCCCAAGAGCAATTTGCAGTGTTGTTAAAGTGCCCGTTCTCTTCTGCCTACACACAAAGCCGGCATTCCCAGCTGCATCTGCCTCTAGTCCATAAATAAGAGGAGATGGGAGGTCAACCTCTAACAGCCAAGTAGCGAACATGTATACTGTAAAATTAACCTAGAAAATCAGAAGTAAAATCCAATTTCAGGCTTTCGAATGAATGCCCACATTTTGTACTGTCAACGGAATTATCTTGGAGCTTTTAGGGGATGCCTTTGGTTATTAACTGAGACATCTAGTTTTGCTACAGGGACAAATCTCTTACCTAATCCAATATATTATTTGACAGATTCAGGCATGAAGTAAAGCGTTGTCACTTTTCCTTAGTGTTTTTCTGAAGGAATTTAAAGAGGGAATTTTAAACGGCCATTGCAATATTTTCAAGTGGCTCTCACACCAAGTCCTATTACTGTGTGTTAAATTGCAGTACGTCTGAAAGTACTACTTATAAACAAATGAAACTCAGAGAAACTGAATCACTTGGAAGAGAAAAATCCATTATGGTCCCATGTGGAGTGAGTAATGATGGATCGGCGCCCTTTCTCTCATGTTATTGCATACGACGAGGCTTTTGGGCCAGCAGTGATTGGGCAGCTTTAAAATTCTTAACTAAAAGCAGTAATGCAATACAGGGATTATTCCCAATAAAAATAACTTTTATTTAAAAGCAAGAGATTTTACTTAGCTTTTTTTTTTCTTCAAAGTTTGATTTTATCCCCTTGAAAAAAAATCTCTTCACTTGAAAGTATAAAGGTTTTTAAAAATACAATTGCAAAATGTATTATTTTTACAACTATTGAAATGGCATAAAAGAGAACATCCTATTTATGGCTGAAGGGTAGAGCCAGGCTAATGTCCACAGCCAGAGGGAATCAATAAATAAGAATCATTTTCATTTCAGTAAGAAATCAGACTGTAAGTTTAAATAATGGCTCTATTATAGATACCACCATGTAATTCTGGTAAGAAGACTTAATGAAATCTAATCAGTGTGCCATTTCTCATCGGCCATTGGTGACTTAAAATTAAGACAAGGCAGAGCCAAAATGGGAAACAGTCATTTTGTTGTAGGAATAAACACATGAACGATTCAGAAAATTATTCATCATGCAGCATGACATTAACATTAGGATTGACTGTACTTGGTCTGATCTGCTCAAGGAAAATAATAGTTCTATTATACTTAATGATGTTGGTTTTTACACAGCTCATTTCATTTTTCACTAGAAATCAGTTATGAAAGAGAGCTGACCTGGGCATCCCAGCCCTGAGTCCTAGGCCCAGTCTCCAGCTGGAAAACCTTAGGCTGGTGTTTATACATCCCTGAGCCTCAGTTTCCTCTTCTGCAAAATGGTGTGAATAGTAATCTCTGTGCTGCTTACCTCACAGGGCTATTGTGAGGACCAAATGGATTAGACTGTAAAGTGCAAAGTGCTGTCCGCATGTGAGGTAATCTGATTACTATGCTCAGCTCTCTTGTAGAGGATTTCAATGTATTTCTTTATCATTTGAGTGTGTGTGCGATGGACGAATATGTGTGTGAGTTTGAGAAGCATATTGTTCGTGTCCAGTTACTTTGCAAATTTGTGGACACCTGTGATTGGACAGAGGGGTTTGTGCTGTGGCCTAACACTTGCCAGGTGAGGTGTAGGTTATGCCTATATGCAAATTAAACTTCACCTTTCTTGAATATTCAGAAATCTCATTGGTTTCTTCATTTAACTCTTTTCCTCATTTTTCTACATTGTCAAAACCATGAAATGTATACATTTAGAAAAAAATATATCTTTATTTCTTATAAAGGGTTACAGTCTGCAGGCTGGAGCCTCTGGCCAAAGCCAAAAGCAAGCACTTCAGAGAAAAAGGGAGAGGCTGAGATTTATGCCCAATGAGATGAGCCATACATATACATTTAGTAGGTTATAGGATAATCTTATGAATATTTATGAGGCCCTAATGCATGCATAGTAATCATACATGTTACATACAACCCATGTTCACTTTGGGATGGAGACTTAACATTAAAATGTAGTAAAATTGGACTGTATACCTCAAAAGATGAAACACGGGGCACGAAGACACTTGGTGTGCAGTCTCTGTAAACCGGCCAGAACTGGCTGCAGTCTGCGGTCAGTTATGAGGACGGTGTGCTTCGTAAGGCTCAACACTTGTCATGGGGAAACTGCATTGAGGGAAGGGGGGTTCGCCAAGTCAGGTTGTCTGTCTGTTGAAGTTGAGGAAGAAATCTTCCAGACACAGTTTTCAGGAACTGGTTTTAGTTTAACTGTAGGAAAGAAAGTCTTGAGGCAGTTATTGAGGTGGGGGAACGTTGGGTGTGACTGACCTCTTGCCTTGCCAAAGCTGTAGAATCCTGGTTTTTAATGTTTTCTGGGGTCTCTTTTACCACAATGAGTCTGTTTTGTTTTGCCTGGGGGCCTAGGGGCTTTATTTGTATTTTACATCTTCTTCATAGCAGTGAATTCCTTCAGATATATTATTTTACTTCTAAATATTACTTCTAAAGTTCAGGGAGAAAAACAGTTTAGAAGAGGCCCTAAAATTCAAAGAATTTGGGGAAAGCTTTGAAATGATATGAAGGATCAACTAATCACACTTTCTTTCCAGTGTTTAGATTCTTCCTGTGACATCCCCAGCCCATATTTGATTACCTCCAGGCACAGAGAACTCACTACTACCCAGAACAGCTCAGTCCATTGCATGGCAGCTCAACGCTTCTGAATGGGTGGTGGAGACAGGAGAAGCTCCACCTAGGAGGGGCTTCTGAAATAAGGCTCCTATCTACCCCTAAAATTACTGCAGTGGTTATATGGATTACTATATATGAAAATACTTTAACTTCTATGAAGTTGTGGTAACATTTAGAGCTGATGGAATTAAGTTACAGTTGCTGGATGCAAGAATAGACTAAGGAAAGGGGTTCCTCCTGCCCAATTCTGAAATGAGCAATCCAGGCTGGTGGGACACAGGAACCCAGGTTCCTTTCATCCTATTATTTGCCCATCCCACAAGGCATCGTCCTTGCCTACGAGGTCAAATTTGGGGCCTGCTCTAGCCACATTCCTGCTGGACCCAGGAACAGAAAAGAGACTAAGTCCAGGACATTTTCCTTTAAAGCAAATGATATGGCAGTCGCATACTTCAATTCTGTTCCTGCCCCTGTGGCAGAAGCCAGCCACAGGGCAGCCTGGTGTGGCTAGAGCCCCAGAGCTTCAAAGGGAGTTGGCAACGATAAGAAGGGAACGGATGGCATGTGACAGAGATGGCATCTGAAAGATTTTCAGAAAGCCAGAATTTCTACTGTGAGTCCCTTGTAGAGATTTCGTCCCCATCACACCACCTGTATAATATGCTTGAAGAGGACCAGGCCCCCAAAAGAAGAGTGGTACTCTCTTTTCTCAACAATGACCCAACTTTTCTTCTGACCTTACTAACATATACATTTACTCTGTAAAATATAAGGTGTTGAGGTAGGGTGAGTGGAGGGGGCCCTAAATGCTGATTAGGCAATTGGGGAGGAAAAGGAGGTTTTTGCTATAACTGCCATCCTTTAAATCTACAATTCCACGCTCTTCAAAAGCCTTGTAATTTTCTGGATCTGGAAGCTGGGCTATTTCAGGGTCACTGGATTTATTTCACTTGGTGCCTGAACTGACTTGAAACAAGTGTGTGTGGAAAAGAGCTATTTTGAGAAGAAATAAACCGAGACTGCCTTGATGACGGAATATGCAAGCTGGTGGGTCTTGACTCCTTAAAGGACTACGAAATTAATTTGATTGGTCCCAATCTTTATAGAACCACCCCAATCAGGAACCTTTCCGTCCTGCCAAAAGGCCCCCTCATGTGCTCTCCCAATCAATACCCCATGCAAAGGTAAATTCGATGATATTTTTAAACATGGGTCGTGATTTAAAGGAATGGAAACTCTGAAGGAGAAAGCACACTGGGTAGAAGGTTATTCCTGGGGCTCCACCCCCTGCTCCATCAAGTCCTTTGAGCATGAGCTAGGCTCTGAGAAGTAAGAGACAGGAACCAGTTGGTCATGTCCACGTGGCCTCAGAAGCCGAGTACGTGACGGTCACCAGATGCCTAGGCAGGCTCCCTTGAAATGGCAGGGCTGCTGTCCAAAATCCTGCTGGGTCATTGCTATTTACAGGCAACCTTCCCGGCGTGCGGTGGATATCCCAAGTAGGACTATTTTTAAGCAGGGCTATGGCCTGCCGTGGGTTAAGCTGGTGTGGACAGAAAGCGAGATGATCTAGCCGTCTACTGCAGATGGCCTGATCTTGAACAGAAACGTGACTGTAATTGTCCCTGGATCTAGGCCCCAGACAAAGACGCTGGAAAGAGGTCCCTCCAGCCCCTGGCTCAGGGCCCGGTCAGCTGCTGGAGCCAGGCAGCTTGAGATATCCTCCTCTCCGACCTTGGCTTGAGGGGTTCATCCTCCAGAGCTCACCAGGGCCCCAAGGCTGGTACACCTGAGAGAAGAGGGAAACAAATCCCCCAACAGATACACAATTTCACCCGCTGGGCCTTCCATTCTGAGATCCAGAGCCCTGGCAGAGGAGCCTTCAGGACCAGGCCTGGAGAGCAAGATTGGCTCCTCCTTTTATGTTTCAGAGAAAGGGCAGGTGCTATGAAGAGCCAAGCGCCCAGGGGCCTGCCTTCAACGGTACAGCTGTGGGGGCCGGTGCGCCCGGAGGTCTGCGCTGGGATTGGCGAGGTCCTCTGGCCCCGCCCCGCCAGGGAGGCTTTTCCAGGCCCGCCCGGCCAGCTCGCCCTACATACACTTCTTGGCTGTGTGCGCTCAGCAGGACGTGGGAGACTCCGGCTTCAAGGTCGGTGAGTCCGTGAAACTCTGCTTTATTCCTCCAAAGAGGGGTCATGGCTAGAGCCAGTGTGAAGGGCCTTGGAGGAGTGGATGCAGGGCTGTGGACCGGGACCCCGTTAGGACGCTGACTGCGAGGAGGCAATGGTGACTCGCTAAAGCCAGCAGAGCGCCCGCCCTTGGCCGAAGCACCCCCTCCTCCCTGCACACAGGTGGGGCCAGCTCAGCACCAGGAGCAGAACAAATCAGCACGCTGCCTGCAGAGTCTCTTTTTGGTAGTGAATTAGGACTTTTTCTTGATTTGAAAAAAAAAAAAAAAAAAAAAAAAAAAATTCTAAAGGCTGTATTTTGACGCTAAGTTTGGGACAACTTTAAACTTCAAATGTCTTTCCCTTGTAATTTAGAGAGTCTAATCCACTGATTTCTGGGAATGTTTTTCCCCAGCAGTCTCAGTCTCAAAAGACGTGTAAATCAGTGACTTGGGATGAACTAACTAGAAAATTAAAATTTTGAGAAGCTATTTACTAATAAGCCCAATAGCCAGGCCCAGTTTAAACTGGCAAATAGTATTGCTAGAGATTCAGTTTTGCCATCACTAACATGAACACATTGATAATGAGCCAAGTAACTATCTCCCCTCCCTGCCATCCTTACCTTTCCCACTGGAGGTTAATTTTAAAAAACAACAAAAACCTGTGGAATTGGCTCCATGTGTTGCACCTGGGCAGAGGCCTCGTCTTTGCTAGCTTGCTGGCTTGGTAGTCCTGGGGTTAAAAATCAGTCCTGTCCTTGTCCCTCAAGTGGTCTGCCTTCAAATGCTCTCCTCTGAATGTGAGGAAGAGTGACATTTGACAAACAGCAAAACCTTTAGGTCTCCTCAGTGCTGCCCTTTAGACCTTTCAGAAAGTGTTGCCGGGCTTGTGACCCCTCACAGTGTCAGCCGAGTCAAGTGAGGGGCAGTCAGTGCCCTCAGGACAAGGTTCCGCTAGGTACACCAGTGCGCTGTTTCCAGAAGGGCTGCTTTTCCTGTCTACGGCTCTCACATTTTCTCTGTTCTGAATTCGTGTCCTTGGTCTGTTCTGTCTGTCCTCTCAGGGAGGCGAGCACGGCCACAGCATGTGGCCTGAGGCTTCCCGACAGGCTCTGCCAGGAGGCTCTGGGCCTTGTCTGGTGGTGTGGGCACCTCACTTCCTCTGCATTGATAGGCACCTTCTCCAAAGACCCCAGACTTTGGAGTTAATCATGCCTGTGGGTTAAGGTACTGTCCCAGCAAAGCACAGGAGTGCCACATGCACCCCATGGACTCTGCCAGCCTCATGACCAAATCACCTCACAAGGAAATGGCCCATAGCCAGGTCAGTTTTCCTAAGGAAACTGTGGGTTGGGGGAGTGCCATACAGAATGAGGAGTCCTGGGGTTTCGGACACAGGAGGGGGACTGACTTTGCCCCTAACTCAGAGGCCCTGGGCCTCCATCTCTGCCATAGCCTAGAGCAGGCTCCATTTGTCTTCCCAAAGGAACCCCCGATACAGCCTGTGTCAAGCATTCTTGGAGCTTCTGCCCACAGAGCCAGGAATCCAGCAGCAACCCATGCTGAAGGTGACTGCTAGAGGTCACACCAACCCTGCCTGGGAAGTCTCAGAGACTCCCTCCCTTGGGCGGGGAAGAAGGCAGCCCACTTCTTCACAGCACTTAAAAGGACTAGATGGCTGCTAGCTTCCTGTTTTCTTGTAAACAATTTACCCCTTGAGGGACAAGTCTGGTAACCGTCCCATGCCTTCATTATAGGAGGCCTAGGAAAGGCCTCTGTTTTACAGAGTAGGATTCTAAATATCTCCTGCCTAGGACTGTCTATTTGCTGAGTAGAACAGTGATGCCAAGAGTGCCCATTACGGTCGGCTGTGTACCCAGTGGTTGTGAGGTAACGCAAACCCTTTGCTGTCTGAGAACTGGGAGGGGAGAGGCATTTTCTGCCGGCCTAGGCGCCTGGCATCGTGAGAATTTGTTCAGTGTGTTCTGTGGAGCTGGTCCAAGCCCAAGGACGTCCTCTGTTTTGGGGTGGCTCTCTGGATGGAAAGATGACATATGGTCCTCCTCCTGGCCTTCCACCTGCCCTCTGGCTGAGGAGTTCACACACAGGGACACTGAATGGCTGGACCAGAAATAAGTCTGAGTCAGCAGAAAGGCAGACATGGTCCATCCGGGATGCCCAGGAAGCACAGGGGGCTCAGGCTGGAGGCAGTGACAGAACCCAAGGCCTCCCTTTCACATTCCAGGATGTCACAGAACCAGAGAAGACCATTAGACCGGGATCTGAACTCCCGGTATGCCTGCCTGGGACCAAGAAATGTGCAGCTTGTGTGGCCACTTAACAAAAGGGCTTGATGCAGCTGTCCTTGTTTTTTAGTGGGGACGGCAGTGTAGGAACAAACAGGATA